TATTGGATGTAACAAAATCTCCTTTCCAATGGATGGTTCCAACAAATATTACTAATTATCCTGTTAATCTAATCGATCAAGATCATAGATACCATACTTCAAATTTGTATAAAAATTACTTGATAATCTCATTTGGTAACTTATGATAATAATTTTTAAAATTCATACATAAATATATTATCTGTTTATATCATTTATATTAATTTTATTTATATTTATTAATAATAAGGTTTTACTGCTCTTGGTGGTTATCAAAATATTTTATTATTGGATATTAGTGACAAATATAATTATAGATGGTTGGACACATTTGATCCTAAAATCATTACTGGCACTGTTAGTGAACCAACCACCACCAGTGTTGGTATGCTAGGTATAATTATTGGGTCGGTTATATCTGGTGCAATCTTCATCATTGCTCTTATTTCTATATTTATTTTATATGGTGATGTTGTTAATGATGAAGAAGAAGACAGAGGATTAAATCAACAAGCTCATAATGAAAATGAAAATGAAAATGAAAATGAAAATGAAAATATTAGTAATATTGAAATCATTTCAAACAATGATGATAACGCCAACAGCAATAGTGATGAAAAAAAAGTAATTGTTGATAAACCTATGGATAATTGGTTAGAATGGATCAATGAGGCAATTCAGAATGAACACATTAATTTTTATAAATATAGTGACTTTAAAAATACCCAAAAAATTGGTTCAGGTGGTTTTGGAAAAGTTTATAAAGCAATATATAACAATAGTAGTACTTTTGCCTTGAAATCCTATAAATACAGTATAACACATATGAAAGAAGTTATTAATGAGGTAAATTTCAATATATTTTTTGTTATAGATTAAAAAAAAAAATTTTCAACTAACAATAATAATTGGCCCAATTAGTTAAGATTATTGCGTAAAGTTGACTACCATCAAAATATTATTCGTTTTTATGGTGTCACTAAGAAAGAAGGTTTGTTTAAATTGTTTTCTGTTTTGAATTTTTTCCATTAACTAATATTTATATTTATATATAAAGACAAAGAGAAATATTTATTGGTCCTTGAGTATGCAGATAGTGGAACACTAAGAAGCTACCTACAAGAAAAGGTTGAATCAATCAGTTGGGATCTAAAGCTGAAATTTGCATCTGAGATTGCATCAGCTGTTTCATGTTTACATAAAAACAACATTATCCATCAAGATTTGGTAACTAAATAACTACATATTATATACATAAATTTATTATTTTAAAAAAAATTTATATTTAATAATGTTTATCTTTTTTGAAAAGCATTCAAATAATTTCTTGGTTCACCAAAAAACAATAAAATTGGCTGATTTTGGACTTTCCCGTAAAATACATGAATCTACAACCTCTTCAACATTCAAAATGGCAGGGATAGTACCTTATATTGACCCACAATGTTTCAAGGACAACAATAATAAAGTATATAGACCAAATAAAAAATCAGATGTATATAGTGTGGGTGTTTTATTATGGGAATTGACTAGTAACCGACCACCTTTTAGTAATCTGGATCAACATCAACAACATACTTTATCACTTCATATTTCTAAAGGAACTCGTGAAGAACCTATTCCTAATACACTTGATGAATACATTAATTTGTACAAAGGTAAAATATATATATATATTTATATGCATTAATTATTGTTAATCATTTACTTGTGTTTAGCATGTTGGCAGGATGACCCAAAAGACAGACCTGATATTCAATATGTTGAAACAATGCTTGGAAAAATTTCAGGCTCAAATATGGTTGATATAGTTGATAATGGGGAAAATAATGAGCAACAAAAAAATGAAGGCAGTAGTTCTTTTGGGTGTCCCAGTAATAATTCAACAGGGCCTAGTATTGGTTTACTGCAAATTTGATAAAGTCTTGGATTTTTAGAGTAGTCAGGACCCTACAACTTCATTAATATCAACAATGTAATGGTAAATATATATATTGCGATATTATGTGTATTATATTCATACTTTCATTTCTTATTTATATTTGTATTATTATTTATATAGTGCAACCTTTAATTAGACCCCTCCTGAATTGAGACATATCAACTGTTACACAATTCTTTTTAAAAATTGCAAACCACTCATTAAGCATTTGAATAGATATTTTATACTTGATATATACACATAAAACTAATTCTAATGCTAACAAATAAATATTGATTCTTTAGAAAAATCAGTTCAAACTGGTCAAAATCGATTTTTACTAATTGAAGTGACAAATCTTCACAAGTTCAATTTCAACTAAATCAAATTGAGTTAAAATTTTATAAACTACATTATATTATGTCTCAATTGTTTTAGAATGAACAATGAGTTACACTTATGAGGTGGGAGAAAGACACTAAATAACAATCTTCCCAAATTTTACAAGTATACTCTTTTTTTTCACTTCAACATTCCCTGATCCACCCTGTCTGATTCATTTGAAGTAACAAATTTTATTCTTTGATTGCAAGTCATTACTAAAATACCGTTGGTTTGCAAAATAGAAAAAGATGGCTTTAAGTGGCAAAATATTTCAGAACAAGAAAAGTCTTAACTATTAAGGAATTATGAATTAAATATAAGTGAAAAAATATGTTCTAAATGTTATAATTCTTAAATAACATACTGATAGAAAGCCTGAAGATGCATCATATAAAATAATAAAACCAATTGAAATGGAAGCAAATATGATTTTAGTTTACTGAAGTTACAAAATCCCAATCAATATAATTATCATTATTTTGTTTTTTAATATAAATTAAATTAATTTTAGATGGTATACAATTTTTATTCCTTGGTTTTATACAAGTATCAATATCGTGAAAAAAAATGGTAATGATCCTGATGAATTTGTAAAAATGATCAAATTGCCTTTAAAATAATTATTAATGAATTTTATAATGAATTCAATCTTTTAAAACAAATGTTATTATTATTAAAGTAAGATCAGTATAAGGCTGAATAGTGTAGCGTGCGATGATTCACAGTGTATATTAATTAATATAATAAAATCAGTACCAGTTGGCTCTCGAAAATATGTTTATGGAAAAACATATTTGAGATGAAAACCAACTCACATTCATTGATCTGATAAAAGGAATTATACCAAAGACCTTTAAAATCTTATGTAATGTCATGGTAAATATGAATGATTTAACCAAAGAAAAAATATGGGAAAACACGTTGTCAGGAGGTTTTAAATACAGAAATACGTTTGGTATTAACGAATATATTAGTATGAAAAGCAATAAAAGTAAAATCATAATTATAATAATAATAGTACTAGAAATCATAATAATAATAACAATATTAACAAAAATGTTAGTATAAAAGATAATGGGAATCACGGATAACAAATAATAATAGATTTGGTGTCGTAGATATCTTTGTGACGATTCACTATAATTTTCTTATTGAAGTGTGGTTATAACTATTGAATGTTATAACAGCCACATGGGGAAAAAGGCGGTCTAATTTGATTAGATACGGGGGTATTCCTTTGTTTTTATACTGTGTTTCAAAAAAAAGGCACCAAAATGTAAATTAAAAAAAAAATTTTCACATAACAAAAAACGATTGGGTATCTTGTTTGAATTTTAATAAACGCAAACGATTGTAAATATGTTTATTAAATGGTGTTTGTAACAGGATAATGATACAAAGCACACATCATGCGTTACAAAAACTTTCATTTCTGAAAAAAGAATTTGCATAATAGACTGGTCATCCAACAGTCCTGATCTTAATCCCATTGAAAATATGCGGTATATCATAAAAATAACGTTGAAAAAGGATGCCAAGAAATGTTGACGAATTGAAGAAATTTATGGTCGAAGAATTCCTCAGGAAACAACCAAAAATATTATTATGTCTATGAAACAGAAATGTGAGTTGCTTTTAGAAAAAAACAGTGATATAATTTCTTATTTATTTTTTTATTTTTTTGTTTAATAAGGTATTTGATAAGGTTTTAAATGAATCTAGTTTTGTTTATCTATCTTGCATAATTGTTGAGATATGTGATTTTTTTGTGCGCGTCCTTTTTTTTGAAACACAAAAAAAATATGTATAATAAAATCCGACATAAAAGTGAATTTGATTCGTTATTACCGTTATGACATTATTCTTAAACTCTTCACTTTTATTTTTGTATTAATGCCAGTAAAAAAGATTTCCATATGCATTTATTAGTATCATTTGTTGAAAAATTAAGTGAAATATATATATATATTATAGAACTTATATGAACGAATAGACTCGTGTATAATTAATGCTCCATGTCACAATACAAAAAAGGAAACAAAATGGTTGCAAAAGCGGTTGCGACCAGGTATCATAATCATTCATTAAAAGTTGCGGCCGGTATCAACAAATAAATGTATTATATTGATTTTAAAAAGATAAAAAGCTAACCTTAAGCCTTTAGAAGTTATATTACTACGAAAAGTTGATAGTTTCAACCTTTAAAATCTAAAAAAAAAAATACAGTGTAATATGTGTCATGTGTTTGGTAAATAGTCTAATTGTGGAGTAGATGAAGGTCCTCCAGATTATTATTAATATATATCTCAATAATTTAAAAAGCAATAAAAGGAAAAATAATTCTCCAAGCCAATGAAATCAAGTCTCCGAAAAAAAAACAATCCTTATTGAATTTATATTTTTATATTTTGATTAAAAGAATATAGATAGAACGGTACAATATTACAAGTTTCGGTTAACTGATATTCTTGAAAAAAACAGTCCAACTATTATTGTCTATTCATAGCTATGTGGGAGAAAAACACGATATTTTTTCAATTCATTATTAATAATCATAAAATTTATTTTTTAACATAATGATCCAAACTACAAAAAAAAATTAATAAAATATTCATAAAAATAGAAAGATAAATAAAGTAATAAATAATACTATAAATTTAAATTTGATATCAGTTTGGTAAAAAGAGGTATGTAATGTATAAAATATATCACATGATTAATAATTCCAACTCCAAGAAAATATGACACTAAAAGAGAATATAAGAAGAAGAGAATGCTGTTCAAAGAATTGGATTATAGATTTAGTGGCGCTACTTGTTTTCGCTTGCTCGACAATATTGATATCAGCACAATTATACCAAATAACTGAGGCGTTGGTTGATGATTTGAATATGGCTTGGAGTATGCCATGACTACCGACTGTTGCATTTGTTTTTGAAAAATCAATGGATGCTGTATAATTCATACCTCCTTTACCTTCTGTGACGTTAACAGTCTGAAGTTCTGTAATTATAATATAATTGTATGTTACATATGTGTAGATATAGATAGTCAGATAGATATAGATATGCTACCTGATACTGGAGTATCATAATAATTAATTATAAAGTCTCCTTCTCCATGTCCAATATAAACTATGGCTTGGCCACCCTCTAAAAAAATAAAAATATTTTGATTAATTAATTTATCAATAATGATGATGATGATGACAATAAATTATGGTAAAAAAAACTTACTAATTGGAAAATTAGTGAGTGAACTACTATTAAAGTCAGCTCCACCGCAAGGAGGAATAGCGGTGAATGTTAAATTAGAACTTCTAGTTGGAGGAAACGCAAAGCGAAAATGGGCATCAACTTCATTATAAGAATTGAAGATGACGAAGTAAAATAAAACGGTCATAAAAAGAGAAGAGAATCTTGTAGTGGTAGTAAAAGAATTCATAATTTTTTTGTTTTTTATAAAATTAATTTATTTTTTCGTTAAATAATCAATATGAACAAAAATTTTCATACAAATTGATTAGAATTTGTTGTTTTTATTGTTTTATAAGAAAATAAAGAGACTTTGGCTCTAGTGAGTCAAACCGATCTTGCTCTCACCATGATCATATTTATACTGTTTGATTCTTTTAATAAAAATAAAGTTTGTACAAATTATAAATTGGTAAATTTAAGTTCAGATTATCTTCAGATGAAGTTACACTAACTTGTAAAATATTTTGAATCTAGAACCTTTAAAAACCTTTAATATTTTTATCGGCGCCGTTTGTTTTGAATGTAAATCATTTATTTCTAAAAAAAGGAATAATTAACAAAATATCAGAGATTTATGGTTACATTATGCAATAGAATATTCGATCGGTATCCGATAAGGTTTGATATAATTGTAATATAATTGTAGTAGTAGGTAGGTATATTTTTTAATACGTTACTCTTATAATTGTATATGATATACGTAGAATAGTTTTTCTGATGCCAATAAGCATACAAAAAATTGATTTAACTAAATATTATTATCAATGGTTTACGATTGAATTTACCACTACATCATTTAATGAAATCAGCGTCGTCATCAGCTAGTATCTTTTCACAAATGTTAGGGTTTTTGTTGTTTGAGAATCAGGATTTTTGTTTGCCAGTGTGACATAAACACCATCTTCCACTACAATTGTTTCTAAAACTTATGTGTGTGTACATATTATGTACTTTACACTTATTATTATTATTATGTTATACGGATGTCACCTGATTTGGGTTGATTAATTTTTTTTTGGAAAATTAAAAAAGAAAAAAGATAATATTTATCTTATAATTTCAAAAGTAAAAAAAAAAAAAATTTAAAATTTTTCTTTGATTAATTGGGGGTTATTACATTAATTGATATATTCATATTCCTTTAAATTATAATTAGATATGTCATGAAGTTGACGATTATTGAGTAAGTTTTCCTTTGTTACAATTAAGCGAAAAAATCTATTCTTTAACACGAATTTTATTTATGCATATGTCGATGCCTATATCTATATCTAAGAGGCTTCGTAATAAAATTACAAGAGGAGGGACTTAAAAGAAAGGTAATTAAGTCCCGGAGGCTTCTGCTTTAGATATCGATCCAATAGAAATTGATCCTTGACACAAAAGTAAAAAATTTTTTTAATATAAAATATGTATTTATTGTTTTATTATAAAGTTCGAATAGATTAAATTTTTAAATTTCGAGAGTTTACTTGGAGTAGAAGTAGCTGTATCACCTGTTGCGTTAATCCTTTAACTGAGCGTCCTTGTGAGGAAGGGATGGTGGTGGTGGTGATCGTACACCTTGTCCACAACAAGAAGCTTTAATTTATTTAAAATTAAAATGTAGTAGGACGTTAAATTTATAGTAATGTGTGTGATTTATAGATAATAAATAATATTTATTTATTTTAATCAATCAAATAGCTGCTACTATTTTTTTCTGTTTGATTTATTAATATTATTATTGGCATTTAAAAAAAAATTAATTCAGAAATCCCCCCCCCCATAATATTAAATATTAATAATATATTTATATTATTTTAAAGAATCGGTTTTTATTTCAAATAAATAATCTAAAAAAATTTATCAATTAAAAAGACAAGGCAACACACCTCACCATTTAACAATCAAATTAAAAAAAAAAAGTCTATGTATGCAATGAAAATGATATTTTTTTAAAGAAAAGAAAAAAAAAACTGAAAGGTAATAATAATAAAAGTCTGTTATTATGTCATTTCTTGCTTTACACCATTTTCAATTAACATCATATTATTATTATTATTATTATTAATATTCATTTTTTCCGATCTGTTATTGTTAGATGTTTCATGATATTGATCATCTTGACGATGATGCTGTTGCTGATCTCCCAATTGTAGTTCTTGAGCAACATCCTCTGGTTTCTTTTTTCTTTCTAACTCTGCAATTTCTGATGCTGTGAGAAATCTCCCGCCAGGTCCACGTGGACGCCTCATTGCATGCTTATGACGAGACTCGTGAAGATATTTCTAATATTTAATATTTTATAAAAGTAAAAAATAAAAGTTAATGATGATGATGATGATGATGATGATGATGATGATGATGATATAATAATCATTTAACCAACCTTTCGACCTCTATTTATTTTATTTTCAGACTCTAATTTAGCTCTGGCTGCTCTTCGTTTTAAAATTCTATGGTACTATTATTATTATCATCATCAGTAAAAAATTTTTTTAAAAAAATTTTAATTAAATCTAATCAAATCATATTACTTGTTTAGCATTAACATATAACGGTTCTTCTTGTTCTTCAATTCCTGTGGATGATGACTGAGGTGCAGTTTGAGTATTTGAAGTGCCAATAACTGTAAATGGTGAAGGAGGACCAGGGCTCATAAGCTAAAAATAATTAAATAAGTAAACAAATAAATATTAAATAAATATTTACTTGAATATAAGAAAAGAAATTATTATCATAATTCTCGCAATATTTACCAAGCCATAGGGTTGAGCATGAGCATAAGCAACTGCTGTATTGAAGGCATTTGGATTTGGATTAGTTTTCGTTGGATCATTTTGAAGTCCCTAATAATAATAGTTATAATCAAAATAATATCGTGTAAGCCACAATATATTACTTCAAAAGAATAATAACAATAATAGTAATAAATAATAATAAATAATAGTAATTTTTTTTTTAAATAAATAAATACCGTATTTACTACAACAGGTGCATTTGGATGAGCGAGGTTAGTATAAGAAATATTATCATATTGTGGATGCTGTTGTTGCTCTGTTTGTTGCTGTTGTTCTTGTCTATCAGATTCTTGTTGTTGTTGATGTTGATGACCATTAATAACTCGTGTTTCGATCGATGATAATCTTTGCTCTTCATTATTTTCTTTAGATTTTTGTAGTGGTGATAATTTAATGTCCATATTTTTCATCTATTATCTATCTATCTTTCGTTTCTTTTTATGTGTTGATTTTACTATTATATTATTATTATTTCTTCTATTGTTTATATAAATATTTCTAAGTGTAATAACAATATCGATTACTGTGAAAATTATAAGTTTGAAGAGTAGTTAGTGACATTATGTTTATAATTTGAGAGAAGTTAATGAATAATAACTCTAAATTAATTTAGTTTAATTTAGATTTAAATTTTACCTGTAAGTTAATATTTATTTTTTCTAATCCAATAAAAAAATGAATAGTAAAAATGAAGAATGAGTGGTTGGATTGAAATGGAGGGTGTCAAAAAAAAAAAAAAAAAAAAACAAAAATAAATGAAAATTAAATTGATGATGATGGTTGGTTTGGTTTTTGGTTTATATTTATAATATACTTTTTTATATCACTAGAATCCTAGTGGACAATCTGTACGATGAAAACAAAGTGGGCGTGATTTTTAAGGTAATTTTGTATCACACTTTTTTGATACACAAGATTAATTCCTTTAAAATTTTTAAAATTAATAAATTTAACCACTTATATTTGACAATAAGGTGTCTCGAGTGTGTAATCCTAAACGTACCAAAATTACTCTTGCTTGTTTTCGTAATCTACTTTGAAATATATTATGAGCTCAATTTATATATATCCCTATCTATCAATGGTGGATTTGCAAAATGTACATCTAAAAAAAAGCCTTTCACCCTTCAAATTTTGTTGTTTGACGAGTCCACAACATCTATGCAAACGACCAAAGATATTATTTATGAAGTAAATAATGTGACGGACCTGCAGTTTCACAGTAGGTTTTCCTATTGATCATGTTCTGCCTGTATTTAACTCGCGAATTAAAACAAAATGTTGGTTTTCAACATAACCATTTTGCCAATTCACAATATTATGAATTTCCTTGTGAATTTGGAGCATGCATCGATCGAGCATATATGCTTATTTGCTTTACCACGAGTAGAATTCATTTCACTTTGGATTTTATCATAAGTGACGTATTCTACTTATGACCCCTCACCCACCTGGGTTATATCCAGTCGCGAAATTTCTCACTCCTGGATCTATTCTTTCAACCACGGAAAATTTAGGATCTTTGGTTTTTGGCCTTAATATCAAGTGACATAGGGATATACAAGTTGAATTCGCCAAGATGATTTATTTTTAATTTAGGTATTTTCCCACTTGATTTAATATCTTTAGGAATTGAATAATCACCCGCAATCTCTTGATCTAATGACAATTAACTGTAATTTGTTTTTTTTTTTAGATCTATATTTTTTTTGCCACTATAAATATTCATTGCTGTATTTCTGATATCGTAAGGGATATCAAGAATCCATTTGAGATCAGGCAGGGTCTTTATTATAATCTTTACATAAGTAATTATTATTTTAATTTTAATTTTTACATGGATGTTAACTGCTATCCACTTTAATATTTATTATTTATCCTCTGAATTGGGATAAAGTCTAGGGAGGTTTTTTAGAAGACGAAGAAATTACATCTTCATTCATAGAAAATGAAACTACATCTTCATTCATAGAAAATGAAATCACGTCTTCATTCATAAAAAGATGAAATCACATCTTCATGAAATCACATCTTTTCAAATCACTAGGCGTTAGATTAGTTGAATCAAATTGTAACCATGACCCAAGCAAGAGTTAGCCTTTTAAACAGCCATACCGTTGATTTGAGCACATCAATTCGTGAGCCCTTGAGTACGAGTGAATTCATCACAGAATGGCTTATCTTATACCTTAAGAAGATATTTGTTGCAATATAATTTATATATTATATTTTAAAATTTTTAATAAATTACAAAAATCTTGTGACACGTGTTTGAAGTGGTGATGACTAAGTAGTGTTACAATATTTATTCGCTTTTAGTGGACAGTCGATTTTATTATGTTATGTACACAAAGACAAAGATGGAAAATAGCATCAAATGATAAAAATTTCCGAAACGATAAATTATGGGAAATAATTATAATTGGTGGATATTAATAAGCAATTGGTCAGCTTGTCGTTGATCATAGAAAATCGAATGTCGCACAAAATTAATTACAAATAATTTATATATATATATAGAAAGGAAAATTTTTTAAAAAAGGTTTTTTTATTCTAATATTTATGCATGATCAAGAAGATAACCAATTAATTATGAAGGCTCATGTAACAATACATCATGTGATTTTAACATTAATTATATTAATTTTAAGGTCTTTCCATTTAAGGAAATGTGCCTGGAGGAAAATATTTTAAAATTTTCTTTGTATAATTGGATGCCTCTGTTAAACAATTGATTTAATTGGTTAAAATTATTTAAAAAATTATTTTTAAATTCTTTTGCAGGAATATATCTAAATATATTGAAAAAGGTTATATAGATGGTGGGTGGCACAATGTCATTATTCAACCTTACGGAGAAATCCATTTTATTTAATTTGGTGTTGCAGGTTGGCTGGAGAACTATAATCGACTAGAATTTAGCCGCGAAATGTAACTGCTAAAATTTTTAACAGCCATCAAACTTTAAAAAAACTAATACAAAACATGTCTTTTCGTCTTAATAAAAATATATTATCATTTTCTTTATAATTATATTTTAAAATATCGGTTTTCGATATTGATGAAAAATCCGTTAAATTTGAAATTTTTAAATTAAGCCATGACTATATATCTAATTACAGTAATATTGAGGCTATAATGGTTCACGGTTGAAATCTGGTTGTGGCTAATTTCCAGTAGTGGCTACAACTAGTCGGCTAGCAACACCAATTTAATTGTTTAATAAAATAAATTGCCAAATTTATGATTGTTTGTGTCCTTCCTTATTTAAGAAGTTTGAATATGAAAATATTATAGTAAAATTTACTCTTTAGATTATTCTACTGCCATAAGGCTTCTTGTTCTTAATTTTAGGCATAATATGAATTGGTCCACGACACTTTACCGACATCCACTTCACCAACAGGGCACTTTACCGACAATACTTTATCGACAAGACACTTTACTGACAAGGGCACTTTACCGATAGGACACTTCGCTGACAGGATACTTTAAAGTATACTTTGTAATTAAAGCACAAAAATGTGTTTAAATAAGCCCAAACTATTAACTGAAAAATTCGGCGAAATTATTTTAATTGTTTCTTATAGTTTTTTAATGTTCATGCTTATAAAAAGCGTTGAAAAGTCGATGAAGTGTCCTGTCGGTAAAGTGTCTTTGTCGGTAAGTGTCCTGTCGGCAAAGTGTCCTGTCGGCAAAGTGTCCTTGTTGGTAAAGTGGGTGTCGGTAAAGTGACCCAGAACCATATGAATTAATGTGGTTAGTTTAATATTTTTATAAATAAGAATTTGCATATTCAAAATGGTTATAATTTTCTTATATATTTATAAAAATATTAAAAATATTATTATTATTTATAAATTTATTTATAGTCTAACTTAACCAATTAAATTGCAGTATTAAAAGATTACTTTTTTGACTTATTACCATCAGACGATTTCAAGAAATCAATCTCATTCAAAATCAAATAATTTATTATGAAATATTTTTTGTAGTGAGTAAGTAAAGTAATTGGATTCTTTAATTCTAACATTTCAAAAGTTTGGAAACATTAAAATTATATGATGGCTCAGTATTTGATGATAAATCCTTACTTGGTGATGGCACGATGACAATTTTGAAATCCGTTTTCTTACCAAATCTTCAAAAATTGTTTATAAGTCTTTCTGTTGAGTTGTCATTCTTTTTGGACTAAAAAAATATGGATCAATTTATAATTATACATAAGGCTCCGAATCAAATCGAATCAAACCGGACTCCTAAATTTTCTTAATGTCATATTAAATACAGTGAATCTCAATGTAGTGTACTTCAATTTTATGGATAATAACAGATTGAGGTTTAATAATAATAATAATAATAATAATAATAATAATAAAATTCTTCTCAACTGATTTCTTGATATGGATAGACGGTACACATAATAATAAGAAAAATTTTAAAAATTCGTTATGATAAGAATTTAATTATCATTATAGTCTGTTTGAATATAATTTTGGAAAATTTTTCTAATTACCCAAACTATCTGCTAAACCAAGGTTGTGTATTTTTTAATTGATAAAGGATATTATTTAGTGGTGGTAGCCGAAACTGTTTTTGAAAAAAAAAGTAGTTTCGTCCAATACATATAATAAGTACCTAAATCATTCTACTTTATTTTAAAAACTCCCAATTTCATCCATTAAATTATTTTAGGCCAATTAATTTCGGCAATTTCGGCCCACTAAGTGTAGTTTCGACCACCATCACTAGTTCGAATCGAGTTGAGTTGAATCAGTTTTGGTTTCATTGATTCGTTCGGAGCTTTTAATTATACAATAGATGGTGATAAAATAGTTGATGTATTAAATCAAACAAAATCAGATATTCAAATGTCATAGAGTATTTTATTTCCAATGCTGATGATTTAAGGTTGTAATGGTTGGAATGAACCTAACCCAGAGCTTGAAAATAAAATTATCAATTTATGAATTTACAAATTATTTTATTCTTATTATTTAAATTTTTTTAATCATACATATTTTCCATTATTATCTGAGAAATTATATATATATATATGGAAATTGAGAAAAAAATTTTATGTTCCTTTTCTTCTATTATTTTATAAACTTACAGCTTCACCACACACTTAACATTTTCTATATCTTTATCATTACATGTATTTCCAATAAAATTGATTGATTGACAAGCCAATGTTAATATTTACTGTTTGTAGTACTATTGATTTTGATAATATTGATAAGATTCTAGGTTCATTCCATAAATAGGATTATATTCTACTTATGTTCTGCTTTGTGGATGTGAGTTGTCATTATAGGTATGACGAAAGTGCTAGATCACATGTTCGCAATATGATTGGCCAGCTCTCGATATCAATCGTCATCACGTGCTTCAAGAAGTTCCATTTTGCATTAAATATTACCTTTTAAAAATAAATAAATAAGAAAATAATACTTGGTAAATATTCTTTACTTTTAACAATTATAAATCAATCTATTTAATTTAATTTTTACATTAAAAGCACTTCGAATTCCATAGTATTTTATTCTCTAGTCATCATGAAAAATCAACTTCATTTCATGTAAATTATTAGCATCATTTTTGGCTTAATTGTTAATTTACCTGTAATTGAAGGTAAAAAAAAACTCTTAAATGTATAGTGTACATATGAGAAATGACCTTAGTGCCGGTGATTGCTTTTATAATTACTATGCTCAAGGATCTTTGGATTGTCAAACAAAAGAATCCGACCATTCTTTGGGAGTATACAATGCCTGGTGATGTTGCATTTTTTGGTCTTTCAGCCTATGTTCTTGGGAGCCTTAGAAAAAATGAAACATCAAGGCCATATCCCAATAATGGGTAAGAATACGAATTCTTTATTGCTGGTGATGTTGGTAGTTGGAGTTTTGGATTTTGCAGGATCAATAACCCGCAGTACTATTGACCATATTAATGTATACTATTTTCTAATCATAAACAGACTTACTATTAATTAATTAAAGAAATTGTCTTTGTGTAAACTGTTATAACTCACCATGTGATGAGATTTTTTTCAATTCTGAAAAATATTTGAGTTTGCAGAACACATCTCTACAACATAACAGAGCCATATGCATTAACATTGATGTATTTTCATATTGCCAATGGAATTTTTGTCATAAATTCTAGATGCCTACTAATACAAATTAAAAAAAACCCCATAATAAACAAAAAAATATCACGTCGCAGACAAGGTTAATAGGGATTAAAAAAAATTTTAATTTCTTATGTAGCCAGTTTGTTTCCAAACTTATAAACGTTTTAAATATTCAATTGTTAAAATAATTAAAGAAATCGCCTTTGCATAAATTGTTATTATTATATAATTAGTGATGTTAGCCGGTCGAGGAATTTTTAAACAGCTTAGCCGGTTGACTAACAAAAATTTTTTCTCCAATGTTCACCTCATTGCTTGGAAATGACAAAGAACTAAACCTAACATTCATTTGCCTAAAATTAAAAGCACAATAATCATAGCAGAATAAAAGAAAATAATAATAAAGAAAATGATAGTAATAGTGAAGAGATAATAATAACAAACAAATCATCACAACGGATGATAATTTTTAAATGGTTATCAAAATATATTAATAACATGATGTTTGGATAATACCAATTTAAATTCCCGTTTAAGTTCAATTTCAAATAATAATCCACTTATTCAAAAAAGATCTGTTAGTTGGACATGCAAATGGTTTGAAAAAAAACAACAACAATAAAACATGTAGAACTTGTAAATCACTTGTTTGGTGGAGCCAAAAAAATAATTTTACCAATCTTGATATGCAAGCAAGAATTTACTTACAAAAAAAAATATAGATTTGGTAAAATAATATTCATATGTTCTTTTCTTAAAAGAAAATTCAAAACTTTTTGAATGATTTTATTTGGATTTTTTGTTTATAATAAATTATTTGATAAAAATTTACCTGAGTTCTTAGCCGGCTAAGGTTTTCTAACTATATATATTTACGTAATATATATTTACACGCAGTTTATGTCTCAATAATCAAGTTTTTAAGTGAGTGAGCATGTGCAAAGGTTTATTTTTTTTAGATTAAACATTAATATTAATATTTCAAGGAAATTCCGTTGTTTTTTTTTCTATAGGGCTGTGTTGAATGGTATTCAACAAATTTTTTTGAAGCTTTTAATCTTGGCGTCGTAAAAATTCAGAAGCTTGCCAATGCTCCCCTCACCATAGAAAACTAGAAAAATCAGAAATTTTTACCCATCATAATAGTAAAAACTATCAAAGATTTATCATTTCCAATACTGGGAACCTATTCATATAGATTCCAAGCATCAAAAATATCTTTATAATAATATTCACGCATTTTCAGAGATGAATTAAAGATATCACTTGTCCAAAACCAATCTACATTACTAATGAATAAATAACCAAGTAAAGTAAGCTGCTTATTAGATACTGATTGCTACCACAAGAAATAATTGGTTTAGACCTCATTCAATATGCGTAGATTGAGCCTAACTTAATGTGATTTTTGGCTTTGACCATATCTAACACAGGAATATCTCTCTACTTCAGCTGTGTGTTTAAATCGAGTTTGTTCTATATTTCTATTAAGCAGCTTTTTTATATAGCAGTCGCATGACCATTTCTATAGGAGGTTGTAAAACATAGTAAAATTCGAATTTAATGTTGAATTAATTGTTTAAATTCCAAGTCATGTGCCTACTAATTTATCATTGGTCTAAATTACGATCTAAATCTATTTAAATTTAAAATTTATTTTTAGAAAATGACAATGTATGAAAGAATTGAACGAGAATTAGAAGACGCAAAAGTGAGATTAGATAAGGCGGAGGAAGAGTTGAAGAAGTTTGAAGAGGGGGAAGGCGATGGGCAGTGGCTTAAGGGTTGAGGAGTAAGACAAGAATAAACGGCCTCAATGAAAAGGAGGAGCGGGAGAAAGCGAGGCTGGAGAGGGAAGAGGAGGCATTGAAAGAGGATAAGAAGAATAAGTGGAAGCAGGCGGTGTATTTACAAAAAAAACTAATTGAACTCGAAGAAAAAGGTAATGAACAAATAAAAAAATATGCAAAAAATTATTTTACATTCATTCCATTTCGTTTATACACTGTATACAACTTTAACTAACTTATGCTTTTTTTCTTCAATGCTTTGAACTTAAATTTTTAAATTATTTTCTTCTATTATCTAATTAATTATTATTTGTTTTGGAATTATCTTTTTTTTGGTTGGTGTTTGTGTAGGTATCATTATTGCTTTTATATAAATTTAGGGTTTAAGGTTCCATCTAATATATTGATTATTTCTGTAATACGTTGATTAATTGTTCTTTCATCTGATCAATAATAATGCTATTTTTTTTTTATTCTTTCTTTTTAAGATGTAAAAAAACAAAAAACAAAAAATTCTGAAAGGATTTGGGATAAATTTTTGAAGGAAGAATATAATTTGACTCTCTTTAATGTTGGAAAGGAACATCCTTATTCAGAATACATTAACAATCTTAAAATTCCAGTACAACCCAACAATGGTGATAAATCACCTTCTTTCCTTTTGTACAACTTGCCAGAAACTAATAATGAAGGGATAATAAATGGTAGTTATGTTAATAAAAATTATATGAATAAGTTAAAGGAAAAGGCTATGAGTTGGAGATGGTTTATTATGCTTGGTAAAATTTTTATATGTGTAATCATATGTATAATTACAAATACCATCCTGCGATGCTAATGATTTTAAGAAAAATTGTGTAGAAGTGGAAAGACTCGTAACTTGTTTGAATTGCTATGTCAAGTATATGGTATCTATTTTACAATGCTTGCAGGTCATGGCAACCCTGGGTCCAAAAACTTGAATGTGGCTATCCATGAAATGGGACGTGAATTTAAGAAAGATGATTCAAGGGCAAATACTGATATGGCTCTCAAGTATATTTGTTGTGCATTGGTAGCTCAATTGTTTATTTATCAAAACTTCTTAAAAAAGCTAAAGAAGACCATTGTATACAATTTTACTTTGTTCAAATTGAATGGCTTTATATGAATAATGTTGGTGTCATCATGTCCAGGACAGGATTAAAAATGGAAGCTATTGAGAAGAGTTCAGGTAGCTTTGTTGCTAAATCAGGTGGACTTCTCACTACTGATGATTTTTTTGGTGTTATTGGTGGATTTTAGAATATAAATGAAATGCATGGTTTTATCCAAAATTTTTTACCCTTATCAATAGAACATTTGGAAAATTTTTTTATCATTATGCAAGGCAGATATCGTTTTACTATTAAGTTTCTGGAAGTTATATTCAAAAATGAAGAACATTGCAAAATTGATGATGGAATAGAAAGATGGTTACACTTAACAAAAAAATATATTTAGAAAAAACAATTGAAAAATTAAGCCATAATATAGATATATGGGAACAGTAAATAATATGGTGATTAGCTATTATTACTATGGTCATCCTGTTATTTTAAAAAAGGATTCATTGAAGATCATTGAGGTTGGATTTGGAGAGTTAGAAAGGATTCAACTGGATACAGAGCAAGAAGGAGTAACAGCATTTGCACAACTATCAGAACCACTATGTGTTATGGTATTCATTAAATATATGGAATCAAAGGATGAATCTTATAATCCATTGTTAAAGGAAATGTGTCATAACTTCCAATTTCATCACACTGTGGTTGGCTTTTTGAAATGTTTTTAATAAAACCACTTACACAAATGTTCAATGAAAGCATTTATCAAATAATAATATTGTTAAAAAGGCCATTGGCATTGATCAATGTCCAGAAAATTTTCCTATCCTATAACAATTGTTAGACCAGACCATAAAATAATTCTTTGTGAAAATTTTGGTCTAGATCAATTTCTTAAATATCCAAACTCAACATTCTTTGTTTCAGAAGATACAGCTGGTCCAGATTTGGTTTTTATAGTTCAATTTAAAGGTCCTGGTGAAAACTATATAGATGTGCCAGTTTTTATTCAAGCAAAATTATCAGTGAATATAAAACCAGCAAAAGCCATTAGAACAACAGATCCTAATGCATTTTATGCATATCAAAAGAAAGAAAATGAATTAGGTGATGATGAACCAAATTTCACAAATGAGCCACTTGTAAATTATTGAAATTATTGATAAAAAGTTTAAGAAAGCAAGAAACAATGGTATCTTTTGGATTCAAATCTTGGTTGCATATCCAGTAAAAATTCAACAAAAAAAGCTACTGGAGAAGTATTGATAATAGGCATACAGGCACTCATATTTCAGAATTAATGATTATGATTGATAATGATGAAGCAAAACATTTTTTCAAGCAAGAAGAATTGAATATCTTGAATGTTTTAAAGAAATGTAAAGCTGAATATATCACATTTAAAGAGAAAATGGTATGGTGTTAATAATTTTATCTTCTTTCAATAAGGAATTAATATTTAATTATGTTTTTTATTTAGCACCCAAATAAAAAAGCAAGCCAAACAATTCAACTTATCCTACTATATAACAAACATTTTTCAAAGATAATAAAGATAACATATTTTTACAACAACTAAAATATTTATTCAGAAAACATTTTCATTTAAAAAGTAATTCTTTCAAAACCCAAATGGGAATTTGCAGAAAATTTTCAATTGTATAAATTTTAAAATGTATGATGATATAATTTATTAATAACTTTTTGATATAGCTTGAAATGAACAATTTAATTGATGATGTCCAAAAAGAAACTTTATCAATTAAAGAACAAAAAAAAAAAAAAATTAATAATGGTTTGTTAGAATAGCATTCAAAATAATTACGAGTATTCAAAATAATTACAAGTATCCGGAATAATAATAATATTTGAAATTCGTAATTTTGGATTTACGAATATTCGAATACGGAGTTATAATTACGGTTATGAACCCTAATACAATATATGTTATGATTTTTTGCCTATTGAGACAACCTTTCATTTTTTTTTTAATTAAAAGCAATATCCTGCTCATATAATTTCATTAGAATAAAATAAATATAATAATAATAATTCACAAAATTAGAGGTTGGAATCATCCAAAAAATCCTTAGTCAACTACTAGTTGGTCAAAAATTTCTTTAGTTGACTAAATTTTTTTTTTATAATAATAATATTTTTTAATTTCCAAATTACGAATTCATTTCCATTTGAATCTTTCACTTTTTCAAAATGCTTCCACACAAAACCATATGTCACGATTCGTTTTTTTAAAGGTCTTCTGGAACCACCGCTTAAATCGTTGGAACTTGAAGCCAATGAACTATTGGACCTTGTATTGGAAGTGTTTATTCATTCGCTTGTAAAATTATCATCAACAACACCACTGCTATTGTCGTCATCATCATATTTATGGTATTGATACTCTTCCGCATAAAAATTTTCCATTTTGAATGATAAAACACAAAAATCGTAATTGGTCAGTCAACAATATTATTAGCATAGTACTACTACTAGTAGTAGTAGTATTTAGTAGTCGACTATTAGTTGTTCAAAAAAGGTTTAGTCGACTAAAATAGTTGATTAAATTAGTTGATTATTTTAGTTGATTCCAACCTCTACACAAAATAAATTCCAAATTAACTTTATATGAGGTTATTCCTCTTGAAAATAATTAAAATATATATACTGTATATACACATACACATTTAAATTTAACATTTCAGAAAAAACAGATATGCCAAACAAAGTCTATGAAGTTTATTCAGTCTCAATTTAAAAATTTTAACTGTATCATAGATATTGTTGACTGATTCAGATATTACCTAGGCAATAGGAAGTCAGATACAGTATTAATGAAGTTATTTATTAAAACTAGATGAATATTATTAGAATTAGAATTAGAATTAGAATTTGAATTTGAATTTGAATTTGAATTTGAATTTGAATTTGAATTTAAAAGAGGTCTTGAGGGTATTTGTGCTATCTGATTAATTGGGTATAATTGATTAGCTGTTTTATTTTTTAAGTTGATATTATTTTGTTTTAACCATAAGTTAAACAAAGCACATTGTGGAAGCCACACATTTTTATAATAGATTGTAGGAGATGATGTGAAGGATGATTGAAGTTTTTTTTGTGAGAAGTAAATATTGGATGCATGGAATTAATCCAGCTGCAAGTATTACAGGCGAAATAAGCATGGTGGAATTTCTCTTTATCACATTTATCACTTTGTGACGATCTCAAATTTATGTTGTGTGACTATATAATTT